TCTCATGCAGCGCACTGCCTGCGTCTGAGTAACAAACTAAAAAAAACAACAAACAAAAAAGTGCATGTGATATTAACAGATGAACTTTGCTCATATTTATAATTCCAAACAATCAGTAAGCGACAGGTGCTAGGAAACGCTGTTTTGTACTCATTTATTGACAAGTCGGCTGCGGTGCGGCCAGCTGAATGCACTGCTTCTCTGCCGCTCACTGCACAGCACGCCGAGAGAGGTGACACTTCTCTGGGAAAGTCAGACCTCGCTCGCGTACACGGGACAGCACATGGCGAAATCTTCCAACTGAACCATAGCTAAGGTTTATCCAAAAAAGTCGCTAGGTTTGTCAGTATGAATATTCTATGGAAAAAAAGCCGCTAAAAGGGTCTGAAAGTTGCTAAATCTAGTGCTAAAGTCGCGCTCGTGTGTGTGAGACCCATGGCAGGGGGCGGTGGATATTTGTGGCGGTCAGTATGGATATTGTGGATGAGTTCTTCTGTGTCATCACGTTCTATCAGTTCTACAGCTTCAGATTCGGAACTTTCACACTTAGTAACACATACAGCTGTTCCCTCACCACAGTGCAACAGTGAAAAGGGACCCCTTTCAAACAGTGTCGCGTTCCGAACGTTGTTTAAGCGACATATACCGGTATTGCGGTATTTTAAAAATTCATATCATAACAAAAATAAACACTGGTATTCAGTATGAACCGGTATACCGCCCAGCACTAATGGTAAGCGGCGTAACATTTCCGTCACACGCTTGAGGTATTCGGTCAATCACAACGCACTGGATAGCTGGCCAATCAAAGCACACCTCGCTTTTCAGACCGATGAGCTTTTTAAAAATCGCTACATTTCAGAAAGGCGGGGCATAGAGGAAAAACAATAATGTACAGTATGTGGAAAATAATGTGTTTTTTTAACCTTAAACCGCAAAAACACATTTCATTACACCAAATACACAAAATAATGTTCTTTTTAGCAGCATCATATGACCCTTTTAAAATGTATAATTTGTTCCTGTGATGGCAAAGTTGAAATTTCAGCACTCATTACTCCAGTTTCAGTGTAACATGATTCTCAAAAAATCATTATAATATGCTAATCTGGTGCTTAACAAACATTTATTATTATCACTGTTGAAAAAAGCTGTGCTGCTTTAATTATTTTAATATTTTTGTGAAAACCATTATACATTTTTAGGGATTGTTAAATAACCTGAAATTTCAAAAGAACAGCATTTATTAAATAGCAATATTTTGAAACATTAAATGCATTGACTGTCACTTGTGATCAATTCAATGTTTCCATGCTGAATAAAATTATTAATTTATTAAAATAAATCTTACTGACCCAAAACATTTGAACAGTAGTTTATATCCTAAGAGTTTTAAAGGGGTCATATGATGCTTTTTTAAAGATCATTATTTTGTGTATTTGGTGTAACAGAATATGTTGACATGCTTTAATGTTCAAAAAACACATTATTTTTCAAATACTGTACATTATTGTAGGTCCTCTATGCCCCGCCTCTCTCAAACGCTTCGTTTTCTACAAAGTCCCTCCGTCCGACAAGCGCAGTCTGCTCTGATTGGCCAGCTGACCCAGTGCATTGTGATTGGCTGAACACCACAAGCACTCGTCAGAAATGTAACGCCCCTTACCATAATCGCGAGCTTCATCTTTCAAAATAAATGTAAAGACAGAGCCCGAAAGCGGAACAGAGTCGCGTGACAGACACAGTGAGTAAGCTGGTATGTGTTTGCAGTGCACAAGCCACGGTTAAGACAGCTGACTCCACTGTGATGTGACCCCCTCCCTCTCTCCCTCTCTCCCTCTCTCTCTCTCTCGCTCTCTCTCACTCTCTCTCATCAGGGATCTTATCTATGCACAATCAGCTTGTAACACTCCAAAGAGAAAGGAAAACTTGAAATCGCATCATACGACCCCTTTAATATATTTAAAATAGAAAGAAGAAGATATCTGTAATGAAAGTGTATGTGTCCAATCTCTCAAATTAAGTTTAAAAGTCCAACCACAGTGTATTCCAACACTGAGAAAACAACAATGCCTCTCAGAGAGTCATTTCATACCCAAGAAAGATCAAACCAAAGAACCAAAAAGCCTTTGCCACTTTTTTCTCTCAGCTATCGAAAGAAAATAAAAGTATTGGGATCACATTGTCCCATTCTACACTAAAGCATCACCACATCCATCTAAATTACCAGTCTAGTCAGTGTCCAAAGGCAGCGCTCCATCTGCCTGTAGGCCCAGTAACACTTGGCAGCAGCAGCCTTTACTGAAAAGCCCTAACAGCTGTTTCTGCTCAGTAGGCAGTCAAAGCTTATCATCTGCCTGGATGCCAAAAATTTGTGATGCTCCATATAGAAAGTGAGTGTTTCCTCTCAATATGCCAAGGTTGTGAAATTCGGAGAGCTTCATTCTAAGAGCTCTGAAATCAATTTAATCAATTAATACAGCAAAAGGAGTGCAGTGAGGTATGATCAAAGCTAAAACCATTAAGTAAAGCCCCTCAAAATATTTAGATTAGTGCTGAACAAATATGTGCTGATTTTTTAATTATTCAAGGGATAGTTCATCTAAAAATGAAAATTCTGTCATCATTTCCTCGCTCTCAAGTTGTTTAAAACCTGTATTTAACTGCTTTCTTCTGTTAAACACAAAATAAGATATTTTTAAGAATGTTGGTAGCCAAACAGTTAATTCTAATCTGTAGTATTGGGGGGGGATTATAATTGTGCTCTAAGTGGTCCTGCAATGTCATAAAAATTCTAATGGATACCCCAAAAAATGGCTTGATGAGTCCAGTTTTCTTTCCTGTGTTGATGTATTTCCTATTGAAACAGGAAGCTGAGGTTAAAGTGGGCATGTTATATGAATGCCCATGTCCAAAAACACCCAATATCCTTTAGTTTACAGCTGACAAACATGATTTTCTACTTGCTATTGCTAGCCAGAAGTGGTATTGAGGGAGGAGACATTATCATTCTAGAAAGGATTTGATAAGAGGACTGAACTTGCATAATGTGTTTAGCTGCTAAAAGTTCATTTTTATAACATTTAGGGGCACACTGGTATTTAGAGGGTCTTAAAGCTAAAACAGTTTTACTTTAGTCAGCAGTTTCAGTCATAGCCACAAGAACTGTACGCTTGCCATGCTGCCCCCCTCCCACTCATAACCACTTTCATACAGTCCCACCACGGACCATGATACAGTTCAGAGAGTGCAAGAGAAAGCGAGAGACTACTAATCTAAACACAAGATTTCACCCCTGTCACCCCTAACAAAGTTTACTATAGCGGTAATTGTATCCAAATGCAGTCAAGATTTGTAACAGCTGATTTCTCTATGCCAATTCCACATATGAGAAAAGTTAGAAAAAGACCAAACATGTATATTTTGAGAAAAGCTTAAGCCTATATGGTAGAACAGCATATATAGCATATAGTTGCTGAATTAATTCCATATCACAATGTCCTTTAATAACCGCTGAAGTACAATACTACTGTACATGCATGTGTGTGTGTGTGTGTGTGTGTGTGTGTATATATATATAGATAGATATATATATATTTCATTTTAATCATATTTCCACCATTGGCAAACGTTTTTTTCCTTAGGAAATATTCCTAAGGAAAAAAACGTTTGCCAATGGTGGAAATATGATTAAAATGAAAATAATAAAATATTAATGAAATTATTCCACAAACAGTCATTGAAAACAAGACTTAATATGTTATACAGCTTTCATTTCAAGTAATTTGATTTTGTTTTTAAGATTTTTAGATATTTGAGATATATTTTATTATAAAAATGAGAAAATAAACAGCTGACCAGGGCTGGTCATTCATTTCAGAAAGAGACTAAAGAAATGTGAAAATCATTTTCTATTCTAAAACTCAACCTAAATCATTGCAAAGCATAAAAAGCAATTAATTCATTCGTTAAATCAGTAAAAAGAAGTTCATGCAAAACAAATACATAGCCTACGATTTTCTCCAGCAAATGATATACTTCTGGAAGAAGGCTGTTCAACAAGTTTTCTGTGTTCCATTCATTCATCAAGTTTCCCCAAACTCCAGAATGGACATCATAACGGACCTCCCTTCCTGAACTCATTCTTCCTTATGTAACGGAGCTGACAGCCAAAAGGCTAATTTATGACCCATTTAACGTTTGTGTGAAATCTATCTATCTATTGTCATACTCACCCCCCGACTCCAGCTGCTTTGAGTCTGGAGTTCAGGGCATTGTCCGGCTCCATCGCGCTTACTTCATTCTTCCTCAGGAGTGTTTGCTGCTGCAGTCAAGACATGACAGAGTTGCTGAATTACTTCCATATCACAATGTCCTTTAATAACCGCTGAAAGTCTTCATGCAACACTGTAGTACAATACTAGGCTACATGCCGTGGTCTTTCCTCCCAAGTGTCAAATGTAGTACTACTTTCCAAAGAGAGGAACCTGCGAGGCGCGATGCAGACTTCCCCATCTGACAGCAATAGATCCGATGATGATGATGAAAACTGGAAAGTTAAGTCCAAAGCGGCACAGACATGGTTTGCTGAGGTGAAGTACAAGCGCTTAGTCAAGTCGCTGACTGAATCTTACTTAGTAGGCATGCTGAAGATTTGGGACACTGGAAGCATAATTCCCTCTGTCGCCCTCAACTGTCTTCTGAGAAAGAAACACTTCGCTCGGGAAACTAGAAGGGATTCAATGGAAGGTGTGTCTTTCCAAAAGGAACCCGTTTATTTTCGCTTTCGTCAAAAAAAGAAAATGAAAAAAGAACAGAAAAGAACGTCACACAAGACTATTTAAATACAAAGCTGGTAATTTATCACAGATGTGGATCATTCTCCAACTTGCTTTTTATGCTGATTTAGCCATTTGCTCTTGTGAAATTGTATAAGGGTTATTTAGCTTTCAACAAGAAGAAATAGGCCCGCATGTTTATTTTTTTATTTTTACGCCTTAAAGGCAATTGCAAAGTCCTTTAATTCAGTGCACATAAGGAAGTTCACAGTCAAAGCAGGACAGCATGTTTCAAATGGAATATGTTTTAGAAATAAATTTAAATAAATCTCCTTTAAACTTAAACAAAGACTTTATCCAGCAAATTATTTTATTTATTGTGGTGTGGAATACAGAACTATCAATGAAAATATTCAATGTTTACTTTTTGGCTACTACTTAATAATTTATTATGTATTTTTAACCAAATTTTACATTAATAAATTCCATATTACTAATTTAAAAAAACTATAAAAAAACCAACCTTGGTTTTGTTGACTGAAGTAAGGCTATATATATATATATATATATATATATATATATATATATATA